AATAAGCCAGTTTCTATCTTTGCAATTACCTCTCAGCTCTTGAGTCTACAGCTCAACCCAGAGAAATAAGAGGGAGAAATACCTACCTCTGTTTTATATCCCACTGAAATCAGTTATAATTTTATTTCTTTTTTTAAAAGAATTATTTTATTATTTATCTTAATTTGACCAGAGAGGGACACAGGAGAGAGAGAAATAAAGAGAGGGAAAGTGAAAAAGCAAGCAGGCAGGTCCGGGACTCAAACCGCAGTTGGTCATGTGGAAGTCCAGTGCTCTTAACCACCACACCACCTGCTGGTTCCAATGTTTTTACTTATGTCAAAGAAGCCTTGGTTTTCTGCATATTTTTTTTTTTGAGAGGTTTTTACTATAGGGCATGTGAGCTCACCAGAAAGCCAGAGAAAGCCAGAGAGACAGAAAGCCAGAAATCACCCCCCAGGAGGGATGGCCATGCCGCAATCCTTTCTCCTCCATTCTCCTCTTGGGATCTTGGGCACGCACGCACACACGCCCGGCGTGAGTTTTAAGCCACCGGGTCCGGGACGTGAACCGCAGTCGACTACGTGGGAGTCCAGCGACGTAGCCATTTTGCTAACTGCTGGTTCCCACCAATAGTTACTTTTCTTATGTTTACCTGAGGGTCATTCACTAGAATGACTGTAGTACGGGACTGGTTTCTGTTAAACTGTATTGCTGTGGCAGTATTTTACATTCTGAATCCTCAAATCTAAATGCACTAACAACAACAACAAAAATTAAAAATCATGGATTTCAAGGACCAGCAGTTGGCATAATGGCAGTCGCTGGACTCCCATGTAGTCAACTGCAGTTCTAGTCCCGGACCCAGTGGCTTAAACTCATGCTGGGCATGTGTACGTGTGCGTGCGTGCCCAAGATCCTGAGAAGAGAATGAAGGAGAAGGGATTGCGGCATGGTCATCCCCCCTTGGGGGTGATTTCTGGCTTTCTGTCTCTCTGTCTCTCTCTGTGTGTTTCTGGTGAGCACACGCACCCTATAGCAAAAAACCTCTCAAAAATAAATAAATAAATAAATAAAGGAAAAAGAAAAAGAAAAAAGAAAAAACAGCAACAGCAACAAAAACCATGGATTTCAGAGCCTTACTCTGGGCCTTAGTCAATGACTCATTGCTCTGGAACCCCAAAATCAACTCTAATATCTCAGATGCAGGCTGTAACAGACCAAAGGTTTTTGGAGTCACCAGGAGAGACGTGGGGTAATAAGGGGTCCAAAGTACTTCAGGAGAGCCAAGAGAGCTATTGATGAAGGAGGACATCTCTTGGGGTTTGGATTCAGGGTGGGGGTTGGTCTAGACCTTCAATAGCCATCTAAAAAGAGTGAGGGCTAGGATTCCTTCTAAGTTACCCTGAAAGCAACTAAATGGTCAAATGAGTAACTTAACTTACTAAACATTCTGTTACTTCATTGACCATTATGTTGAGGCCATATGGGAAAGTCCTAGCTTTACATCCCGCAGTTTCTTTGGGATCCTGGGCATGTGTACGCTTGTGATCCTGGCTGGCTGAGGCTGGAGGTGGATTGTGGCATGGGGACCTTCTTGGTGGTCTCTTGCTCTGTATAAGCATTGGCAGTTTCACACTCGAGAGAATCTCTCTGGATGCAGTGTGGAAAAGCCTTTTCCCAGAAGGCACACCTCATTGTACATCAGAGACTTCACACAGAAGAGAAGCCTTATGAATGCAGTGATTGTAGAACCTTCTTTATAAGTAAGACCTGACTAAACACCAGAGAATTCACATGGGAGAGAAACTTTATGAGTGTAGTGAGTGTGAAAAAACCTTTAGAAGCAAGTCTAAACTCATTCAGCATCAGCAAATTCATACCGGAGAGAAACCATATGTATGCATTGAGTGTGACAAGGCCTTTTCTCACTTGTCTGTCCTCATTAACCATAAGAAAACTTACACAAGACAGAAAGCAATACATTCATTGAAGGTGGAGGAACCTTCCTAAGGGAGTCAGATATTTTTATGTAAGAGTAGACTTGTAGGAACCAGCAGATGGTGAAATGGTTATGTTGTTGGACTCCCAACATAGTTGACCATGGTTCGAGTTCCAGACTGGACAGCTTAAAACTCTCACCAGACTTATGTGCGTGCCCAAAACACTTTGCGGAGAATGGAGGAGAAGGAACTGCAGCATCTCCTCTGGGGGGTGATTTCTTGCTTTCTGTCTCTCCTGTGAGTGCATATGCCCTATAGCAAAAATCTCTCTCTCTCTCTCCTGAAAAAAAAGAGCAGTCTTGTAGAAGAGCAAACCTCTATGATTATGACATCTATGGAAATGCCTTCTTCAGTAACCCAGCTCTTTTTTTTTTTTGAAGAGGTTTTTGCCTCAGGGTATGTGCACTCGCCAGCAGAGAGAGACAGACACAATGAGAGGAGAAGTGAGAAATCACCCCTGGAAAGATGGTCAAGCTCCAATTCCTTCTTCTCCTTTCTCCTCCTAGGATCTTGGGCATGCATGCACATATGCCCTGTGTGACTTTCTTCTACTTCTTCTTTGAGAGAGGGAGATTTTAGCTATAGGGTGTGTGTGCTCACCAGACAGAGAAAGACAGACAGAAATAAATAAATCACCCCCTAGGGGGAATGGCCACCCCCAAATCTCTTCTCCTCCATTGCCCTCTCCGGATCTTGGGCACTCACGCACACACGACTGGCATGAGTTTTAAGTCACTGGGTCTAGGACTTGAAGCGCAGTAAACTGTGGGAGTCTATCAGTGTAACCACTACCATCTGTTGGTCCCTTCCCACTCCCCCCATGTGATTTTCAAGCCACCGGGTCTGGCACTTGAACTGCTATCAGCCATGTGAGAGGACTTGAAGCGCAGTAAACTATGTGGGAGTCTATCAGTGTAACCACTACCATCTGTTGGTCCCTTCCCACTCCCCCCATGTGATTTTCAAGCCACCGGGTCTGGCACTTGAACTGCTATCAGCCATGTGAGAATCCAATGACATAACACACTATGCCACCTGCTGCTCCTCAGGAATCCAGGTCTTATTAAACAACCCTAGGCTCCTAGTAGGTGGAAATGTAGTGATTATGGGACAACCATTTCCAACCAGTAAAGCCTTGGTGGGTAATCAGGTATTTGCATGGGGAATAAACCTTGCACCTCAGTGACTGTGACTACACCTTTAGTAATAAATTATGTCTTATGTGTTAGAAAAAACTGTAATAAGATTCTTATAAATTTACCCTTTTAACCATTTTAAAATATACAATTAAGTGCCATTAGGTACCCTTACAGTGTTGTGCAGATGGCACCACTAACCAGTTCCAAAATATTTTCATCATCTCCAATAGGAAACTATCCAATAAGCAGTCATTTCCCATTTTGTTTCTGTTCGGTCCCTGATGGCCATTAATCTAATCTCTCTGTAGATTCACCTATTCTAGATAGTTCATATGAATGTAATCATACAATATGTAACCTTCATGGCTTACTTTTTCACTTAGCGCATTTCTGAGTTCCAGTCATGTTGTGGCACTGTACTTCACTTCCTTTTATGACTGAGTAATACTCCATATATGGACATACCGTATTTTGTTTATCCGTTCATCAGTTTGCGGGTATTTGGGGTGTTTTTACCTTTCGGCTTTTGTAAATAGTGCTTCTATGACTATTCATGTACAAATTTGTTTGAGTACTTGTTTTCAATGATTTGGGGTAAGTATCTAGGAGTGGAATTACTGGGTGATATGATAATCCTATATTTATCTTGTTGAGGAACCACCCAACTGCTTTTTTAAAAAATTGATTTAATTTTATGTATTTATCATTATTATTACTTTTTAAATCTGACCAGAGAAAGTCAGAGAGAGAGAGAAGGAAAGTGTGAAAGCAAGCCACCAGGTCCAGGACATGAATTCTGGTCAGTCATGTGGAAGTCCAAAGCCTTAACCACCATGCCACCTACCAGCCCCACCACCAAACTTTTATACAGCCCTGTGACATTTTACATTGCCATTAGTAACATATGAGGGTTTCAGGTTTTCCACATCTTCACCCACATTTGTTGTTTTCTGCTTTGGGGTTTTTGTTTGTTTGGTTTTGGTTTTTAGATTTTTTTTCTTTGTGTTATAGGGAGCATGCCCTTGCTAGAGAGACAGACAGAAAGTAAGAAATCACCCCCCACACACACACTGTGGGGGGATGGCCACGCTGCAGTCCCTTCTCCACCCGTCTCCTCAGGATTTGGGGTGTGCATTCCTGTGCACACGCACACACACACACCTGGCATGATTTTCAAACCAGGCAGTTGGTCATGTGGGATCCAGTACCTTAACATCCATGCCACCTGCTGACCTATTTTAGTATTTTAAATTGACAGAAGAAATTGTATCTAAAAGTGGTCTTCAAAAAGTTCTTAGAAAATATGTATTATAAAAATACTATGCATGCATTTCAATTTTGGAGACACAAAAGTAAGCTCATGTTTTAATTCCATTTTTTTCATGAACTTTTTGAAGGCTGTTCATGTACAACATGTTTATAAATACACTGTGGAATACGAAATCTAGCATCAACCCCCATGGTTATCATTTTTGTGGCAAGAACACTTAACATCCACTCTTAGCATTTTCCAAGAGTACATTATTACCTGCAATCACTGTGTTGTACAATAGTTTCTTGAATTTATTCCTCTTATGTAACTGAAATTTTGTATCCTTTGGCTGACTTCTCTCCCACCCCAGCTTTCTATGAATTTTTAATAAGTAGGCCAAACCTAAGAGGTAAATCAGTAGAATTCTAATTCTGGTTTCCTCAGAAAATTTTATACAGATGATTTTTTAAAAAATGGAAATCCTAGGGCTTCATGTGAACCCTAATGATTCTAATTTCATAAATATGATTCTGTGATACTCTCCAGATTGAGAATCATTGAGCTAGACCATCAAATATTTAAGCAAACATATGTGATGATATTACAACTTTGTTTCTTTTTTTGTAGATTTAATAACAAAGATTGTCTTCACCATGATTTTTCTTACGTGATTGAAAAGTAAGAAATATTTTTAAATAAGACTGAGTTTTATGTCAATGTTGTACCAGTCATTTATAATCAGTTAGCACTTACTCATTGAATTCCTATTAGCATCATGTGCTCCTTTGACACTATGCAGGCAGTTTTAATATTAAATAAAATGTATAGAAGCTATAAATAACTTTTTTGAAATATACAAGGGAAATAGTGAGTCATGGTCTCCTTCAATTCAATTGAAAAAGCAAACCTCACTTACATATGTGTAATCTCAAATCCCATATTGTTTAAGGGGTTGAGAGTCTTTTAAAACATCATAGAAAATGCATGTTATGAAAAAGCTTTGTGTAGATTTCAGATTTCTTTTGCAGGAAAATAAACTACTGTTTTTATTTAAGAGAGATTTTTGCTATAGGGCATGTGCATTCATTGGAGACTAAACAAGAGACAGAAAGCAAGAAATCGCACTCCCAGGAGGATGGCCACACCTCAATCCCTTCTCCTCCATTCTCTCGGGATTTTGAGCACACACGCACACATGCCCAGAGAAAGTTTTAAGCCACTGGGTGCAGGATTTGAACCATGTTCATTTATATGGGAGTCCAGTGACGTAACCATTATGCCATCTGCTTGTCCCAATAAACTACTTTAAATCTATTTTCCATTAACTTTCTGAAATGCCCGCATACACAAATATTTTTTCCCACATAATTCTTTTATAACTTTTTGTGACTGTGATTAAGCTTAGAAGTTATACATTTACCAGGAAAGACCTGACATCAGACATTCTAGTAATGGGACTTTACACTATAGTTTGTGTTTAATTTAATACATATTTATTTTTAATAATGTGATTTATTTAAGACATAACTATCAAGAGTTTATCTCCTAAAGATAAAAATCTTAAAACTTTAAAAAATATTTATTAGGTTGTCAGAAGGATAAAAGTCCATAACTTCTGAAATCTTTATAACAACCTTTAAAAAACTATGAAATTTTCTCTTCCTATTTAATTAAAATAAGTGAAACGATGGGCATATTCCTTAAGTGATTTTTATTAAACTTCAAGGCAGGGTGGAGGAGTGGCGAGCCTACATGCTCCAGCTTGTAATGCTTAATGAAGGAAAGAAGACACTGTAGTGAGGAGGAAACATTTAATACTCAGTGAAGGCACCACTGTTTAGTATCTGTGTAGCAGCTGGGCCTGAAGGGTAAGGTATGAAATGGGCTCTATCTCCTATGGCACCAGTTTCTTAAATCTGATCCCTTGAACATGGTATGGAGCATGTGGCTAGTGACTGTGATTCCAGTTTGAAGATTGACAAGACAGAAAATGGATGTGGGAAACTAGTTTTAAAGCAATAAACCCTGGAGTTCATGAAGGAGCAGCATAGCAAGAAACCTAATTTAGGTGGTAGCTGAAGTTTAAAAATGCATATCTATTGTTACTGACTCGGAAGTCCCTAGTTCTTTCACCTGTTAATATTCGGGAAAGAACTGCACTGTAATAGCACAGTGAACATGGACTGTATAATCATATGCATCTCCGTTAGTCGTAAAGCCAGGTTTGTAGCTTTGAGCCATAATTTACACCTTGTTGGTTGTTGTAGAAGATACCTGAAACGTAATTAGCACTCAGTATTTTACGATTATGATGATCTACTTGACTTCTGTGACATCTCCTTGCCTATATGAAGTCACAGTTTCAGTTTTTAAGTTTAGAAAGGGAAAGAAAAACTAATGAAAAATGTCTGTCTTATAGGTCATATCTGAGGGATCGACCATCTGAAAACTTGGTAAGAAAACTATAATTTTGTTAATGGGCCAAATATATAAAATAGCTAAAGCAATTTTCCTTTTCTAGAAAGTAAGATTTGACTGGAAAAAATATGGCTGCCCTTTGAAACTTGATTCCAAAGAAAAATTTCAACCTTCAATTCAATTGTAAGTCTCATCAGATTTTTTGTTACTTATTTTGAAGGTTTCAAAATAAAAATATGAAAGTAAGATTAATCAATCATCATGTATTTAATAATGAATATTTTTGAGTACTCAATATATGTGAGACTTGGTTTTCAGTTTATTGGCACTAGTAGCTAATATGATCTATGACCTCCATTTTGCTAAACCAGTGATCAGTTCTCAATTTTTACCTTTATTTCACTAACAAGAATTGATATAATTAGTCACCCACTTTACTTGAATTTTTTTTTTAATTTGGCTTCCAGGATACCTCGTTCTTCCACTTGTTCTGCTATATCACTAATAGATTCCTCCTCAATTTCATAGTTCCTTCTTTCCTCTCTGAATTCCCAAGGCTGAGGGCGCTTTTTTCTTTTTCCCATACCAACTCTCTTTCAGTGATGTCATTCAGTCTCACAGACTCAAATGTCTCAAAATATTGATATATCCTGAAACTGTATCTACACCCTGAATGTTTAGCTCTTTTCATGTCAGAGTATGATATATATCACAGCTATATTATCTACACATGGCCCCTCCTAGGTTATCATCATGTCTGAAAAAAAGAAGACTCGAAGGATTACACGGGGTACTTTATTTTTGAAATAATTATTTAATTTTTATTTGTTATTATTATTACTTTAATCTGACCAGAGAGAGAGAAAAAGGGAAAGTGAGAAAGCAAGTCTCCAGGTCTAGGCTCAGATCATGGGGGCCATGTGGGGAGTCCAGCATTTGAACAACCATGGCACCTGCTGGGCCTCAAGTGATATTTTAAAGGATCAAGACTAAACGTAGTTTGCCTCACTTCCACTCACATCCCATTATCTGAACCCTAATGCCATGGCCCAGATCAAAATGTAAGGTAGTCTAGAAAATGGAAACAGGCCCAATTCCTGAACCCCAGACTAAAAATTCCATTGAGATGTTGAATACAGATATTTAGAAATTTCAAATGTAACCTATCCAAAACTGAACTCCTGTCCTTTCCTTCAAAACCTGCTATGCCATTAGTCTTTTCATATTTCAGTTGATAGCAATGCCATCATTTTGGTTGATGAGGCCAAAACTTTGAAATAATCGCTGACTATTCCCTTTCTTTTATTACCTATAGACAATCCTACAGTGAATGCTACTGGTTCTCTCTTCAAAGTGCACATGGAATCTCCTTATCACCACTTACACGGCTACCATGCTGACCCAAGTCATCATTACTGAACTGAATAATTACCATAGTCTTTTTGTTGCTCTCCCTGCTCCTACTCGTGCATCTATATAGCATCAAGAGCAAATCACTTGGGGCCGCAGGTGGTGTGGTGATTAAGGCACTGAACTCCCACATGGCTGACTGCAGTGTGAATACCAGACCTGATGGCTTGCTTTATCTCTATTTTTTTTCTCTCTCTCTCTGATCAACTTAAATAACAATAATAATAAATAAAATTAAATAATAAATAATTCTTTTTTAAAAAAGGAGTAAATCATTTCAAGCCAAGTTAGGGCCAGCCTGAAGCACAGTGGTTAGGCACTGTGCATAAGAGCTGGATCCCACCTGGCCAACTATGGTGGTTTGAAAATCATGCCAGGCATGTGCCCAAAATCCTGATATGAGGGCTGGCCCTGTAATGCAGGAGTTAAGCATTATGTAGAGGGAGCCATATCCCACATTTAAATCTTGGCCTCAGTGGCTTGAAAAACATGCTGCATATGTGTGTTTGTGCCTTCTCAGGATCTTGATGTGACAGAGGAATAGAGGAAAGGGGAATATAGCGTGACCAGACACCACTGGGAATTCTCTCTCTCTCTCTCTCTCTCTCGCACACACACACACACACACACACACACACACACACACATCCTCTGGCAATGAAACAAAGAAAGAAATAGATAGATTGGGCTGAGTAGGAAATGAAGACAACCTAGGAAGGAACTGCTGTGTAGAAAAGAAGGGAAGAGCTCAGAGACCAAAAATCTCTATGAGGTCAAGGACAGATGAAAGGATATGTGGAAAATGGAAAATGTTGGGATCAGAGAGCAGACCACCAGAATAGTACTATTTTGGACTACTGTGGCAGCACTTTGGTCTGGAGATAATATATTTGTATTTCTGTTACTAGAACTCACTTGATAAAACTTTCAGCTTCCAATTTCCCTAGGATAAATGACTGGATATTAGAGAGCAGCGACATTGGGACAGTCAGATCAATAAGGCTTAGTGTCCAGTTCAGTTGAATTATAGCAATACATAGTTATAACTGGGTATCCAATCCAGGTATTCATCAAAGGTGATTTTGGTTGCTAATTAATTCATTAGCTTTGCAAATCAGGCAGACTTGAATAAGCTTTGATAACCAATGAACAGGGGTGACCACTAGAAAATTAGTCCATAGTCAAGGTCTCTAGATTACAACAAACACCTTACCTTCATAGGGAATAACTTAGGAACAAGGTTGGGCAGAATTGTACAAATAAAGGAAGAATAGATTTAATATAAGGAGCTATCCACATTTCTCACAATTCATCCATATTGCCACTAGATAGCACTGTGGCCTTTTGCTTTTTGTTTTGTTTTGTTTTGTTTTTAAGTGAGATTTTTGCTATAGGGCATCTGTGCTCACCAGAGTCACAAAGAGACAGAAAGAGAGAAATCACCCTCCTGGGGGGGATGGCCACACTACAATCCTTTCTCTCCTCTAGGGATTTTGGGCACATTCGCACACATGCACCCAGTATGAGTTTTAAGCCACTGGGTCCGAGACTCAAGCAGTGGTGGACTATGTGTGAGTCCAGCAACGTAACCATTACACCATCTGCTGGTCCCAACTTTTTCCTTTTTGATTTTTTCAAGAGATATTTTTCTATAGGGTGTGTGCACTCACCAGAGAGACAGAGAGACAGAAAGGGAGCAATCAGCCACCAGGGGAGATGGCCATGCCATAATCTCCTCTCCTCCGTTCTCCTCTTGGGATTTTGGGCACACTTGCACATGTGCCTGTTGTGAGTTTGAAGCTGCTGGGTCTAGAATTCACACTGCAGTCGACTATGTGGGAGTTCAGTAATGGAACCATTGTGTCATCTGTTGATCCCGCTTTTTGCTTTTATGTGAGTCAACCAATGCCAGCTCACATCATTCAATTAAAATCTTTTTTAAAAATTACAACATGGAGGCCAACAGGTGGTGTAGTGGTTAAGGTGCTGGACACCCACATGGGTGCAAGGTTCAAGTCCAGGACTAGATAGCTTGAAACCCATGGGGCATACGTGCATGTGCCCAAAATCCCTAAAGGAGAATGAAGAAGAGATTGCAGCATGGCCATCCCTCCTGGAGAGTGACTTCTCACTTTCTGTCTCTCTGGCAAGCACATGTGCCCAATAACAAAAATCTCTCCAAAAGTAAAACGTGGCTTTGGGGCTAGTTCATTCGTTCGTTCGTTCGTTCATTCATTCATTCATTTATTTCAGAGAGGTTTTTGATATAGGGCGCGTGCGCTCACCAGAAAGACAGAGAGAGACAGAGAGACATAAAACCAGAAATCACCCCCCATAGGGGATGGTCACACTGCAATCCCTTCTCCTCCATTCTCTTCTTGGGATCTTGGGTATGCACACACACACTCAGCATGAGTTTAAGCCACCGGGTCCGGGACTTGAGCCGCGGTTGCCTACGTGGGAGTCCAGCGACATAGCCATTACGCCAACTGCTGGTCCCGGGACTAGTTCTTAATAATTTAAGAATCTGATGAATTTCAGGTGATGCAATTAGACACCTACTCCTTCCAAAGTTATTAGACTTACAACTTTGTTAAAACCTGACCCAAATATCTGAGAGATTATGCGTTTTATACAAAAGTATATGTTTACACACATGTCTGAGCATGTTTTTATGGTGAAAAAGTCCACAGTTCTCTTTAGAAGTCCTGTGGCCCATAGCACAGTTCAGGTCCCAGATCTGGTGGCTTAGAAAATACACCAGGTATGTTGGGCGTGCTCAAAATCTGGAAAGGAAGAAGGAGATAGGATTACAGCATGATCATTCCCCATGGGAAATGGTTTCTTCTTTTCTCCTCTATCTCTGTTTCTCTCTGGTGAGTGCATATGTCTTCTAACAAGAAAAATAAATTCTCTGTGGCCCTCCTTCTCTACCAAGAAGTAAATTGATGATCAATATTCAAATCCATAGCTAGTCATGTCTGCTTGAGAACTGATCTTGTGAATTCATCTATTCATGATTTCTCAAAACTAATTAAGATGAAAATAAAATAACTTCTCAGATGCCACTTTTTGGCATCTAAAGGTTTCCTACTCAAATTGTGAGAATGGGACCACTGGGAGGGTAACAAGCTGTACCAGACCTGGAAAGCCAGATAGCACAATGGCAAGGCGAAGGAAGCAGAGATCTGGAATGTGAATAAGGACACACTGTTAAAGTCCTGTTCTTTTTTTTGAATAGACACAGAATTGTGAAACAAGAAATTATGTCAGAGAGTTGGGCAACAGTCCATGAATCAGCAGCAAGTACCTGAGGTCACTAAGTGAATGATATAGGGTATGGGGGACAATTTCATTCAGAAATATGGGCAATAACTGATGGAGAAAGAAGCCATGGAACCATTTTTACAGTCACATGTTCTGGTATGCAAATGTGTGACTTTATCAATAACTGAACTTAAGCTTTGGTCTCAAGCTCCTATTTTCATATGGTAGCAGGAAAGAAAAATCTTAATATGAAGTACCTCATCTCTTTTAAAACTAACTGTTAGGTAAATTCTTCAAGCTCAATAGAGTTTAGGTATCCAGTCCTAGCATCAGGGGAGGGCTATCTCGTTTGTGTAGGAGTCTTTGCTGGTGTCTGTCGCTCCAGGGAGCATAATTATAGATGACTTCGGCTTCTCAACAATCCCTCAGCTCTTACAGGTACTGCTGATCCTTTGAGACAGAGCCAACATCTTCCAGCTGCTTCCTCCTGGGAGAGCTGCAGTATCTCAGTTCTCATCATAGTCATTTTGTGGTTTCCTTCTCTAGTACTTGCTAGGCAATCAGTGAATTAGGTGTTCAGTAAATGCTTTCCCCAACATAAGTTCCACCTGTTCAAAAAGTGACAAATTCTTAATTATGATTAAGGAGTTTTTGTTTGCTGTAGGGCTTGCGCTTGCCACAGAAAGGAAGAGACAGACAGACAGACAGACAGACAGAGACAGGAAAGTAAGGAATTACATATGTCTTCTCCCCGGGGGATGCCCATGCCACAATCCTATCTTCTCTATTCTCCTCTTAGGATGTTGGGCATGTACACACATGTGCCTGGCATATTTTTTAAGCCATGGAACTTAAACCATGCAGTAAGCCAAGTGGGATCCAGCCACTTTAACCACCATGCCACTGGCTGGACTGATTTTTATTTTTAAATGTCATTTTATTCAGTAGTCAAAATAGACTTTATAATAGATACTACTATTATTTTACACATAAGAAAATTGAGTCTTCAAATGTTTAAGTAACTTCTCCAGGGTAACAAAGCTATTAAGTAATAAAGACAGGATTTAAACCTCAGCCCATCTGACTTGAAAGATGGAACTCTCTTTTTTATACTTAACTGTTATTTTTTTTTCAGGTTCAATGCTAATGGTTTTATTGAAGATGTTAAAGCAAATTTCATAGTGTGGGAAATACATGGTAGGGACGACTACAGCTTTAATAATACTATGAAGCAGGTATGACATCTTTGAATTTAATAATACTATAAAGCAGGTATGATATCTTTGACAGAGTTTAGCATGCAATTAGAAATGTCAATTCTATTTTAAATCTATCTATAAATTATCTAAGGAAAACAGACCTTGGCAGTATTAGATAGGGAAAAATCACTTCTATATCAAATTCCATGGCTACTAAAATTCATTCGTGAAAAAAAAGATGCCACTGTAATATAAAACAGACATAGAAGAGTCAGAAGAAATAAAATAATGTTTGTACTAGGATGATGCAATTAAACATGAGTATTTTATTTTCTCTTCAAACTGTGTTTAATGTCTGATTATTTATAGCTCTGTCTTTGGCTTTAGAACATTGGTACTAAATCAAATAGACACTCTTTAGGCTTCATCTTGACCTCTTTGCATCATTTGACCCTGCTGACCTTGGCTTCAGGGCTTCTGTACTCTCCCAGTTTTCCTCTATCCTCTGAGACTAGTTGAGCTCAGCCTCTTGATGAATCCTCCTTATTCTGTTCTTTGACTTTGTAGGATGCAGCAAAAAGGCCTTACCACTCTCAGTCACCTAGTTCACCTGCATAGGTAGGCCTTTCTGCCCTTGAAGGCCCCCATCACAATGGAGCCTCTCTCGAAATTACTAGCATTGATCCCTAAGATTCCCCAAAGATCTTACACTCAAACAGAACCAAAGATAAGTCCTTCCAAAGCAGCATCCTTATCTACCAGAGAATCACCCAGGAAGTATAACCCATCTATTAATAGATGGCAGCCAAGGGAACTGATCACCTGCCACTCCCGAGGGAATGCAAGAACTGATTGTCTTTCAATTACATAACAGATAAATCCATCCCACCACACATCCTCATATACTTGTTCAGTAACCAGTTCAGAAGTCCTTCTAGTCGACTTCCTCCCAGCAGTCTTGCCATTAAGCTGTTGTACCCTCCTCTCTTGGCTCATATTCCTATTGCTCTCTTACTTCTCACAGGTTAAATGTTCTTAGCTCCATCAGCAGTAAAATATCCTCATAGGATATTTCTTT